CAAAATGCCGATTTGGAATAAGAAATGTGAAATTTTATGAAAACGACAAAATGTGAAATATGACAGATTTATCGACAATTTTACCATGTGAGTAGTGTTCATATGATAAATTTACCATACGAGCACTACTCACATGATAAAATTGTCGATAAATCAGTCATATTTCACATTTTGTCTTTTTCATAAAATTTTACATTTCTTATTCCAAATCGGCATTTTGATACTTCGGAACATGCATTCTATTCATTTGTAATGCAAACTTTGATCAACAAACATCAATTCAAACAATCCAGGTGAAAAGAATTCAGGATAAGAAAAAATAATTGGCCGTAACGTCCCTACACGGTTTAGACGCCAAACCGAATACAAAGTAAGTTAACTCCCAATTATTTTTCCTTACTCTCAATTATTTTTTTTTACTGGGGATTATAGTGGAAGCTGGCTTTTGGAAAAATTTTTTGGTATTGGATAATTTTGGCATTAAAGATATTTTGATTTTAAGGATAAAAAATGATATTGCAGAATATTAGTATTGAATATATTTTGATATTGGAAAAAAATATTGATTATTTGACCACAGTGGAAGTTGGTTTTTGGAAAATTTTTTGGTATTGGATAAGATTGGCATTAAAGATATTTGGATTTTGAGGATAATAAAATATGATATTGGATAACATTGGTATTGAATATATTTCGATATTGAAAAAAAATATTGACTGATAATAGAGGATGCTGGCTTTTGGAAAAGTATTTAAATAGAAAGAGGTTTGAATATTGTTTTAAGGGTTGAAGTTGTTTTATGAGTTAAATAATAGTTTGTGAGTTGAATATTGATTTGAATATTAATAAAAAGTGCAGAGGAAAATAATTCAAATAATAATCATTATCGAAAATAATATAATATGGAAAAAGATTAAACAACGCTAATTCACGTTCATGTAAGACTATCATTTTTGCATTAGTTAGCTGAATTATAGTTAATGAAATATTTTATAGGTGAAACACATGTAAGTAAATTTTTTGAAGCAATAAACTAAAATAAACGATTTGTTTTGAAAAATGGCTTTATCAACAGTTTAAAAGTTGAAGAAGGATACCATGTCGAACATAGAAGAGTATTTTATTTTAAGTAATGACAATTTTAAAATTATTGAAAATGTAAATGAAATGTTAAATGATATGAATATGTATAAATTTCAAGAAATATTAAGAAATGATTCAAATTCTTTTTTCATTATGCAAAGTACTTTGTATTTACAAATGCTTGATTTAATTGTTCCAATTAGAGAAAGAGATAAAAATATTTAAATAGTTTATAGCGGTAATAACAATTCTGGTCATTGGATTTGTGTTTATTACGATAGAGTAAGACTTTATATTTTTGATAGCCTTAATGCAGGGTGTTTAAATATTCATCAAATAGAATATTTAATTAGATTGTTCCCTTTTAAACCAACAGAATTTTTTGTAGATGTTGATCAACAACCGATTAATACAGTTAAGTGTGAAGTATAATGCAATAGCATTTGCAACATCTGTACCCCACTGAAAATTCCCACATAGGCTTCCATATGGGAAACCACATGGGTCCATATATTGGAAACCATATGGTTTCCTATACAAAATCGTATACGTAATTGAAACAGGAATTTGAATAGGAAATTAAGTCGGAATTATCATGTGAATCCACATCCACACAGGAATGTACATTCCTATGTATATTCCTATTTCAATTCCTATAATATGAATTTTTTTTCAACTCTAAGATATATATCTTTCAATAGTAGAGGTTCCTGATAAACTACAGAGATGAAAAAAATTTATTGCGCAGCTGAACAAGTTGAAGAAAATTACTGCGCATGATATTAAGATATAATGTGCATTCATTTGATAATTCCTACTTAATTTCCTATTCAAATTCCTGTTCCAATTACGTATACGATTTTGTATAGGAAACCATATGGCTTCCTATATAGGAGCCTATGTGGGGATTTTCAGTAGGGTATTGGTTAACAGTGTAAATTAAAAGATTAATTTATGAAACTGTTAATAATATAATGAGCAAGCATTTGATATCATTTTTTGAAAATAATTAATTAAATCATTTTCCGGCAGTTAGAATGTCTAATATTAGGATTTCTATTTGTAGAGAATGATTGGAATTGTCTTTTCATAAATCGAGCTAAAGAACTTCAAAATGGTGAACTAAACCTTTCATATTTTTTAAAGACTTTTCCCAGTAAAAATGACAACAGAGTTCTGTCTACTGAAACTGAGAATGAAAAGAAAATACCCAAAGAAAAAAATTTGTCCTGTAAGATGAAGAAATTATCTACAGTAATTGAAGAGGGATTTACATGTTGATGTAAATTCAGTATGCACAACAGAAAATAATAAGAAAATAATTTCTAGTCTTATTGTTAGGGAAAATTTTGATCCCATGACATATCCTACAATGTTTCCTTATGGTGATCCTGGATGGACTGTTAACCTTAAGCATACCCCAGGTACTTGTAATTTTATTCATTTACAATTTTATATGTATCGTCTTTCATAGAGAAGAAAAAAGCGTGGATTGCCACATGTGCGTTTAACTATATGTTTACGTACACAAATTTGCGATTCAGAAACTTTAAATGAAATGATATGTGCTGAAATCACAGACGAAATAAAGAATCCAGAACTTTTTAACATTGTAAAGCGATTTTAAGTTCATGGGCCTTGTGGTAAACAAAATAGGAATTCACCCTGCATGGATCCTGAGATGGGTGAATTAAATATATTGCTAACAATTCGATTATCGTAGCATATAATCTTTATTTGAGTACAAAATTTAAAGGTCACATTTACTGTGCAATAATAGGTATTATATTATCATAACACCATAATGTTGAAATAGTAGTACAGTAACGATTTCAAAAATAACATTATTAATTTTGAGAGATCAAAATTCCGATAACTTTTCGTCAAATAAAAATAAATTTTTAATTTTTTATAAAAAATTATAGATTCCACGCGCGTGTACGCGCGTTTCTTTTAGCTAGTTATTTATAAATAATTATTTTTCTGAATTAAAATTTTATTTCTTATAAATGATATGTATTATGTTAAAAATAACAATATTAAATTAAAATTATTCTATATTGTAAAAAATAAAGCACATTTAACATCGAAAAACGTTAATTTTTTTTAAATGCACTTATTTATTTACTTATTTATTGAAAGTATACGGGTAGAACCCATTCGTTCAAAGTACTATACATAAGAAATTGTATTAATTAAAACAAAGAAAATTTCAGTTGGCCGCATTAACATTATTGTTGTTATTATCATATAAAAGGTTACACAGTTCTCTTATGAACGAGTTTAAAGAAATGCCAAATTACTATTGAACTAATTTGCCTCCCTACGTAATCTGTTAATTACAGAATTATCTAAATAGTCAGTTCTGCAAAAAGGAACATTAAATAATTGCGGATGTCTTGCAGATCTTTGCGGTATATGAAAACCAAATAAACATAATAATTGGAGCAGTTAATAATACCGTTAATAATTTTGAACAAAAATAATAAATCAGCATACATAAATCTTTGAGATAATAATGGTATATTAAATGCCACACGCAAATCTGTGTAATCATGATTCTGGTAATCTACAGGCATACCAATTTGTCCAGCTATAAAACGCAAAAATCTGTTCTGAACACGTTTAATAAAAACTATCAGGTAATTATGATATGGTCTCCACAACACTGAGGCAAATTCAAGTATGGGCTTGACAAGAGCGAAATAAAGAGTTTTTAAAGCTGTTAAATTACAAAAAAATTTTTGCGTTCCTAATAACGAAACCCAAAGCTCTGGTAGCCTTGTTAATTGTATAAGTAATATGATCCATGTAGGAAAATGAATTGTTAATCATTATCCCAAGGTCACGTATCAAGGACACTCTAGAAAGTCTATTACCATCTATTGTATAATTTTGAGTGATGATATTTGAAGTTTTAGAAAATGATATTACTTTACATTTGCTGATATTTAGGAAAAGTTTATTTTTTTCAGACCAAGACTGAAGTTGATTAAGATCATATTGCAATTGCATATAGTCACTAATGTTGGAAATTTCTATAAATAATTTTAAATCATCAGCAAATAATAAAAATTTACAAAATTTGAATATAAAATTTATGTTATTAATAAAAAGTATAAAAAATAGAGGTCCAAGATTAGAGCCCTGAGGGACACCAGAGGTAACAATAATTGATGACTCCAACTTGATATTGTTTGTTATTTCTCCTTACTTCCGCAAGATATAAAGCACACTAAGCGTAGAATCTCTTCTTTATTAAATGTACCTTCAATTAAATTTGCCCATTTTTTAATTTGGTGGAGTTATATAGAAAATAAGGTGAAAATTTTTACCTTGAAAATCTATTTTTACAAAGACATAGTTTGGTCTACGTACATCGATGCTCTTTTGTTTTTATTTCTCCCCGCACATAGAAACGTCACATTTTATTGTACATTCTCTGTTTAAACAGTTAATAAAAGTATTACAGAAGCACATTTTGAATTATATGGAAATTATCTAATTTTTAATCTTATTATTTATAATTTAAAGAAGAATTTTGTTTTTGTGTTTTGCTTTATGGTGAAATCTCTTACAGTTATTTAACTTCTTTTTGTTATTTAGTTAACAGCTGTTTGTAAATGTAGCGAGTGCAGGCAAACCTCGTTTGACATAGAAAGTGGCGCCACCAACCTAGTTCATTTTTGTTGCACATCAAAATGAGCCGCCTACACGACTCATTCTGAGTTCAGTTTTTTCTGTGTAAAGATGAAAGTAAATAATCTAAATAATGGAAGTCTCTTTTAATTTACAGTAAATATCTATTTTTTGGTCGATAGCACCTTTTTCAAACGTGAGCACGCAGACTTTTACCATAAATGCGATGTATGATCAACGCGACCATAACTTTCAAATATAATTAAAATTTTACTTACGTATGTATGCGAGCTACGCCAATTTTTTGGAGCGTACTTGTTCAACTTATTCTCAGGGTCAACAAACAAATATTCGCCATCTGAAAGAATAAAGAATTTTTGTCAAAAATTGATTTACCTATTAGTGTTGGAATTTTTAATGCATTTACACAGAGAAAACTAAAGTGCTGAGTCAGCTAACTTCTATAGTGTCGAAAGCTAACAAAGTATGGATAATGAGCTGATCCTATACTTAAGACAAGGCAAAGAACAATCGCCAGAAGCTCACGGAGTATGGGCAAAAAACCAAAAAATTGTTTTTGTAATTTAGACCACTGCTGAAGGTTTACGAAAAATGGGCGAAGGAAAAAATTTTTTTATATCATTATTAATCACATTTTGCAATGTTTAACAACTTTCAAGTCGAATGGAGGCTTTGGTTTGTGGTCGGAACAACCAGATAAATATATTCTCGAAGAATTTTTACTATATTGGAAATACAGTAAAGTTTGTGTTACAGATCTCTGTTGGTAAGTCGTAGTATCTGAGTTACAAATCTGATGTTAGATTTTCAAAATTCAAAATAGCGGATCCAATATGGCGGACATATTTTTCTAAATTCTGCAGTTTTTGCTTAAAACACGTTATTCGAGGGTTTTTGGGGTCGCTGATTACGAATCTGATGTTACTTTTTTAAAATTAAAAAATAGCAGATCCAATATGGAGGAAGATTTTTTAAAAATTCATCGGATTCGCTTAAAACTTATTACTAGTTAGGATACCTATTTAAAAATGGTACATACCGTATGAAAGTACAATAAATAAGGTATCCTTTGACCATAAAGAAAAAATTTTAATTTGCAAACAAACATTTTTTAAAGAATTTTTTCAAATTGTGGTATATTTCGATTTGAAAAAAAGTGGCCCTAAGATGGACACCTTCATAAAACTGTCGTTGATCGAAGGGTTTTTTAAATAAAATTAAAATTATTAATTTAATCAACAATTTAAGATGATTTTTTTTCATGAAAATGAAAGCTGCCATTTTGTGAAAACGTGATATTTTTTTAAATCCTTCTCATAAACTAACAGAATCTTTTTTATTTTTTGAGTTCAGATGACTCTCTCAGAAGTTATGCTGTTCACCGTGAAACACATTTTTTTAGGACACTTGGGAGATCGCATGCAAAGGGCAAAAAAATTAATATTTTTATGAATAAAATATTTTTTTAAATACACTAAAAGATGTACAATAATATAGAAAATCTTTCATTTTAAGAAATAAATATTATTCCTTTCAAAAAAAAATCACAAAAAACTGCATTTTTCCGACCGCTTGACTTTTACAGGTATAACCCCTTAAGTTTTACAGTTTTAGAGCTACGATGCTCAAATTTGGTATAGATACGTATTTTCGCGATTAGATTGAAGGAAAATTATAGCGAACCCGATTGGAATTGAATTGAATATAGTTATATTCCAAAAATTCGAAATTTCTGAAAAAAGCGTGTCCCCACCGTCTTAACTTTTACAGTTTTTAAGTTAAAAAGCTGAAACTTAGTACACATATTTAATTTCACGTGTAGATTTCATGAAAAATATAGCTAATTCTTTTGAGATTGACTTAAATATTGCTTCGCAACGAAAACTCTAAAATCCTGAAAAAAGCTTAAAATTCCTTTTTATCTTAACTTTAACAATTTTTTAGCCAACCATCTCAAACTTTGTACATATATATGTATATATTTACAAGCAAATTAAATGAAAATTAAAAGAAAATTATTTTTTTAAAATATTTATAAACATTTAAATAATCGTGAACGGAACCCTAGGTAAGCGAGTGGAACTCGCACTTGACCAATTTTTTTGTTCTAAATAAATAAACATTAAACATTTTTAATAGTTGAATTGTCATTTTTTAAAACAAAAAATTATCTTGCAAAATATGGTATTTTCTAAGAAAATTGACAAGACCTTGATGAGTTTTTCCTAAGTAGGGCATTAATCGAGAACAGCGTCACGGCCACTCTAGAAATAAGGAAAACTGGAGTGGACCCCATTTTAATTTCTGCACGAGTTATACAATGCTAAATTTTGTGGGTAGTATTATTAGGTTTTTAATGCTATAAATAAAAAAGATAAAAGAGTTGTTTTTGTCTTCCTAACCGCTTCTGTTTACTACCGGTTTGTTGGTTTCGGCGAGGGACTGGATTTTGGCCCTCGGGCAACATTCTACAGTAATGATGGGTTGTATTTTGGGTAACACAGGTGCTCAAGAATGAACTGTGTCAAATTCAGTATTCATACTCTGAAACATAAATTGCATATGATACATAAAAGTTAAAATATAGTTGTAAAGTAGCCCAAAATGAGATTTTTAAATAAAATAAATATTAAACTCATAACCGCGGAAAGCATACTTTAAGAGTACCACCATGTCCGTCACAGAAAACGTGTGTACCTCATTCGCCTCATGACCTTACATAAGTTTTTTAAAATTTTTGACAATATTGAGTATTTAAAACTGTAATATATGGGTTTTGAAGAAATTCAATTTTTTCAAAAAATAAAATTTCTGAAAAATAAAATAATTACTAAAAATCACTCCTTCCTTTTTTCGTAGTGAATTATGATTTTAGGTTATACAATTTTTTTTTTGAAAATTGTTGACACAAAACAGAACAAATTGTATTTGGTTTAAATTTTATCAATTATTTCTCCAAAATTCAACTAGGTTCCGAGTATTTAATTTAGCTCAGCATCTAAACTTTTTGAGGGACAGATATTGTAGGAGAAAGGGGACAGATGGGATACTTAACGTTTGAAGCCTAATAAAACAGACTTTATTATATTTATATTTTATTATTTATTATAATAATCATCTTTGGGAATCAGTCTTCCATGGCACAGTCTTATTAGGAACATTTGTTACATAATTAAATATAAAATTAAGAAAATGTGGAAAAGTGAAATATGACCACCTTGCCTTCTCCTAGGGGTAAGATGGAATACCTTAAGAAGCAAGCTGGTGTTACAAAAAAAATCAACCTATTATTATACACTTCTAATTATATATGATAAAATAAACTCCATATCCTATCTTGCCTTCCCATGGGAAATGACACTAAAAACTAACTAATAAAAAGTATGATTCAACAAACAATTAAAATAAGATTTTTTTGCATTTTTAAGGTAGTTTGTTTAAATTAAAATTAATAATTCCCCACGTGGAAGATTTTCCGGAAGTGACTTCCGGAAAATTTCCAAAAGTAACTTTTTCAGAAACATTCAAGTTTCAAAATCTGAATCAGTCAAGTATTTCAAGAAATTGAAGTAAATTTGGTGAAGATCGCCAAGCTGAAAAAACTTGTACAAGTTCTTGTACATGTTCTTGAACGAACTTGTACATTTTCTTGTACAAGTTTTTTCATATGGGCGAAGATTTGCAAGTTCATCTCATTTATGGTAAACTTTTTCAAGTAAGTTGACATTATATTGGCAGAAAATATATCAATGGCTATGTGATTTCTGGTTATTATCATTTGCAGAATATTTAAATATATTTTGAAGAAAATGAATAATATGGATTTCACAAGAATTACATAAATATGTAGATTATTTTTTATTTAATTCCTGTAAAAAGTTAACCTTATAATTAGAAAAGCATCTACAAGCGAGTACAAAAAGGTCAAATTTATTTTGAAAAAAATATAAATATACACAGATAATATATGGAGATTAAAAATATTACCCAGGCGAGAAAAACCAATGCTGATGATGGATTGAGGCTTGATTGTAGATTGAATGCCCAGCGTGGGTAACCCAGACTAAAAGCAGCCTTTATACCACTGTCGATCAAAATTGTTTCAAGATTGGTTACCAATGCTCGTCTCATGCTGGATTCAAGACTAGTTGAATCCTCATGAGCAAAGCCTAGAAATCCAGTCTAGATTCAATCTTGAATCAACTGTGAACTTAATATTTGCAGCTTAACTCAATATTAATTATTATGTTGTATAAAATATAATTATATTAAGTAATTATTTACATACTCTGGGAAAATGTTCCTTTTTATGTACTTTATAAGTGGTAAAAAAACCCAGTACCCCTTGCCATACTAAAAACTGAGAAATTTGGGTTCAAAGTTGAACCAGTTGACATAGGATTCCTATCTGAACATGCAAAACTTATATATTTTATTGAATTATATAAAAAGTTATCGATAGATTTTTTTAAAAACGAGTATATTGTAGAATGGAATTAATAGAATAATATAAAAATGTTTTAATAGGGGAATCCATGCTAATTTTTGAATTAAAACGTTTTGAAGAAGAAAAGTTAGGTTATTTATAGATTTTTCAAGAGAGTCAAGTATATTACTCGCTTGAGAAAGAGAGAGAAAACACGACTGTGAAGTGAGTCGCAAGGAACTGAGCACCATTGGTGCCGGAGATATACCTTAAGGGTTCATACCACTTTACACGCTTGAAAATGAAGCTATTTTCTATAATTTTTTTTACGATTCCTAAGGATTATATTGATCTGCATTTTTTTTTTAGTTCAATAAATACACTCTTTAACTTTATAAAAAAACCTCATTTTATTCAAAAAATATTATTTGTTTATATATAATTTAACAATAATTTTAGACCTGCTAAAAATACCGATGCCAGCTGCGGGATTGATTTCTCAGGTTAGAAAAATCTAAAACACAAAATTCAAGTTGATTTATCTTCAGTAGGACTGCACCTATCGCCCGAACTAGAATTTTTAATTTTTATGCAAAAATAACAAAATGGCGGATATTTAAAAATTTTTTTTCGAAAATTAAGGTTTTTTTTGGCAGTTTTAGGGTTTAAAAAAATAGTAAAAATGAATATTTTTTCATAATTCTAGTTCCGGCGATACCCACTTATGTGACGAAGATTTTCGTAAAAAAATTTTGAGAATCGGTCCAGTAGTTTCCGAGAAAAACATCCCGCGGTTGGCATCGGTATTTTTAGCAGGTCTAAAATTATTGTTAAATTATATATAAACAAATAATATTTTTTGAATAAAATGAGGTTTTTTATAAAGTTAAAGAGTGTATTTATTGAACTAA